CATGGTCCCCTGCACCTGCCTAAGCTTGCCTAAGCAGGCGCTTTAGACAACTGAGCTATCTCACCAGCCCTGACCAAACAATTTTAAAGTGCCTTTCAGATGCTTTCTTTAATTCTCTGAGAATTTAAAATGAATTTGACTTTTTCCTTCAATTCTGGCTGTTTTATGTGTTTATGCATTAATGAACAGTAAAGAAATTTCCTAAGGAAAAGTCTAGGAGCCCAGAAAAGCTTTTTCAGAGGCTCAGAGAAACCAGTATCTGTCTGGTCCAATGGAAGGACATTCAAAGAAAATAACCTGCTCTTTGAGGTAATCAGAGACATGCAGGGGTAGAGATATAGCTCAGCGGTATAAGCACCTGCTTCACAAGGTCCCAAATTCAATCGAGAGAGACAGAGACAGAGACAGAGACAGAGACAGAGACAGAGACAGAGACAGATGCAATGGAGAGTTCCAGGTCAGAAGACATGAAGAACTCTTCAAGGATATCAGACAAATGGCCACAATGGGTGAGAAGCAAACAGTCCTCAATGGAAAGGACTTCTTTCAAAACAAAAAAAATTTTTTTAGAAAAACTACATCTTGGAAAACAGATTAAAGGTGAAGAAATCCATGTATACATTCTTTGAGTCTGGCCATAATCATCAAACACCTAATCGAAGGTCATTAAGGTCAATGAGTAGGAAGCAGCCCAGCCCTCTTATTGGATTTGACTATTTTCAAAGATTCAGTTCATATGGCCCTGTAGTAAATAATCTGAATTATGAAAATAAATTTCAGCCATTCACTGTAAATGATGAATATTGTAAAATCTATGCCAGATTGAAAGTCTCTAGTCAAAGCAAGCTATCTTTTCATCCACAAGTGATACCAGAAGATTACTTTTAAGGTAATTGCTATGGTTTATGTCTGGCTGTACATTCTCGGAGGCAAAGGTGTACAAATGCATTAGATTATGGAGGTTCTGCCTTTGGCTTGGGTTAGAAGCTGGGTCCTGCTTGGAAAATGCAGCCAAGAGAGGCAGGGCCTAGAAGGGTATATCTCCCTACCCAGCTCCTCCCTTTGCTCTCTGCTTCCTGACTGCCACTATATGAGCAGCTTTTCTTCTCCATGTGCCCCTGTTTCTTCCTTGGAACCTGCAGACTATAGACTGAACCATGAGCCAAAATCTCTCCTTTGAGTTGTGGGTGTCTAATGTGGTGTCTCTGCAACAAGAAAATGACTGAGACAATAGTTCACCACTCATCACCTACCGTCTCTTTCATCTGCCCTGTGTAGATAGCAGGCAATGGTGTGCAACTGTTTTCCTTCACAAATTTCCATTGGAGGTCTCAGCAAAGGGTTGTCTTCGAAATTTATCTCCTTAAGTGAAACAAGATTATGGATAGCACTAGGCAGAGCTGTCAAATTATTCCCTAGAAGAAAAAAAAGTACATAAATACTTTTATGTAAAATAAAACTATGGAGATGAATAAAAGCCATGCATGGAGAATCTACTCTCTTGGCAAACTACTGGAGGCCCCTTAAAGTGCTGACAGGCCAAAAGTTCCCACTGATTTACATGAACTAGGAATGAAAAGGAATGTGTGTAAAGTAGTTGTGATTCTTGTCCTGGGGTGGAAAAATGGAAGGAGATTATTCTCTTAATGCACAAAAGGAATTTACAGAGAAGGATTGTGTTTTATGTTAAGTAAAACTTATTCCCCATAATAATTTTAAGGGGCCAGGGAGATGGCTCAGTAGAATAAGTGCTTCCCTGGCAAGCGCAAGGGCCTGAGTTCAGTTCCTGGTTCCACCAAAAAATAAATAAATAAATAAATAAATAATAAAATAAAATAAATTTAGATTTGAAGAAAGTTGCAAAGATTGTAGTGAGTTTCTATGTACTCCTCACTATTTCAGTTCTCTTGTTATATTGTCATATTCAATCCAGTCTTAAAAACTAACACGGGTTCATTACTATTAACTAAACCTTAGACTTTTGGATTAATTAGTTCTTCAGTCAATGTCCTTTTTTGTGGTTACAGATTCCATGTTAGATACCACACTGCATATACTTATGCCTTCTTAGTCAACTCTAGTCTGTGACAGTTTCTCAATCTTTCCTTGTTTTTTCATGACTGGACATGAGGGGTACTGGTTCAGAATTTTGTGTGATGATCTGTAAATTGAATTTATCTGATATATTTTCTAACAACTACCCTGGTATTGTGGATTTTTTAAAAGAATAGCATAGACATTTAATGGTGTCTTCACAGCATATCAGGGGGACCAACCATCCATAGGACTTTATTCATAGTGTTGATTGTGGTCACTAGCTAATGCAATATGAACCAGGATTCTCTAATGTATGTTGCTTTGCTTTCCCTCTCTGCACTCTCTTCTTGGAACAGAAGTCACTTAAAGTCTTGGCCATCCTCAGTAGAGCAAAGCAATTAAACTCCACCTCCCTTAATAGACTTTTTCTGATGCCACTTTGATATAAAACATATTAAAAAGTAAAATGTTGCAATTTATGATCACTTAGAGCACCTACAGTTTGTCTTTATATTATTTATATATTCCATAGTTATATTATTTAAATATATATTTAGGAACTTTTTGGGTAAAGGATGGTATTTAAAAATCAAGATCAATGACCTGCGTGTGCAGTGGCAGAGTATTTACCTAGCATGTGTAAAGCCCCAAGTTCAAACACTAGTACCATTTTTTTAAATGTATAAAAAGTATAGCAACAAATTTGGACTTTAGTCATATTCCTTGCTTCTAAGGGTGTATATACATATTATAAATCTAGAATACGCTGGGCATGGTGGTACATGCCTATAATCCCAGCACTAAGGAGGCTGAGGCAGAAGGACTAACATGATTTTTAGGCCAGACTGGGCTCCAAGTGTGTGTAAATCCAGCCTGAACTACATAGAAAGATCCTGTTTCAAAAATCCAATAATAATCATTATTATTATAAATAACCTAGGCTTTGCTGAGCTGCGGCTCCCCACCACCATCACAGAACGCAGACTGAGTCATGGACAGCTACAAGAACCTGATAAGCCCTATCACACCCCACACCCCATTTTTTTGTAGGAACTCCACTGAGCTGCAACGCTTCCCACTGCCGTGGGAGCTTTGATGAGCCCAGCTCTGCTTCCCCGCCATTGCAAAAGCCTTGCTGAGCTCCAGCTCACGCTCCCCAACGTTGTGGAAGCCACACTGAACCCTGGACAAGAGCAGCTTTGCTGAGCTTACCTTTTCCCCCACTGTCCCAGGAGCCATGCCGACTCATGCCACACCAACCTGGCACTGCTACTGAGCTGGGGTGAACATAGAGAGCTTCACAAATGTCAAAACAGAGGAGAAAAAGTCAATCTCAGACCTCTAGCCCACACAGAGCGAGTCCAGGAGACAAGGACACAGAAGAACTTGGAAGTCGCAGATCTGAAATTTCTGAAACGATAACAACTGAAGTAAAGAAACAACTCCATCAGGCTATAGAAGAAATCGGTTCACAAATAATCTCTCAGGGAAAAAAAAAATGACAATCATGAAAGAATTGCACAGTACATCTAAAGAAAATATACATTAAAAATACAGAGGAGAATAGAAAAGTGATGGAAACATTGAATGAACAATACAGGAAGGAATTAGAATGCATAACTCAGCAGCATGAGCACCTGCCTGGCAAGTGCAAGGTCCTGAGTTCGAACTCTGGTACTAAAAAAAAAAAGTACCATGCATGAAACATATTCAAACAGATATCCAGGAAATTAAGAATTTTATTGAAAGCTGGCAAAATTGTTTGAACAAAACTGAAAATAGACTTTCAGACTTTGAAGACAGGATTGGTGCTAGTGATCATGAAAGGAAAGATCTCTTAAAAATAGCAAGGAACTAGGAAATAACAATTCAACAGCTGCACGATGACTCAAAGAAAAACAACATAGGACTGGCAGACCTCAGTGAAACAGCTGGAGTCAACACAAATGACATAAAAGACTATTTGCAGAAGTAGTAGCAGAGAGACCAGGCATGGTAGTGCATACCTGTATTCCCAGTGCTGGAGAGGCTGAAACAGGAGGATTATCCTGTCTTAAGTAAATCCTGTGTCCCTCATTCTCCCAGTTTCCATATCATAATAGGCTCAAAAGGCAGAAAACTAATGCCTGCTGCCAAGTCTTGTGGGGAAGCTTGGAAACAACTCTACTAGGCCCAGTGAAGCCTGACGATAGCCCCAGTGGGCAGATGGAGTGGAATCTCATAGAAGACCCCTAAATATAACAAGTCAGCTAAACTACTTCTGTATTCCTGATCCCCATTTATTTCAGAAGGAAATCTGACATATCCATAATAACTAATGTAATAGCTAATGACCCAAAGTACTCAGCTGTGGAATGAAGAACCGCCAAATTCAGAGGAGTAGTTTGTAGTTTTAATGACAAATATAAGTGTCTGAAATCAATGACAACAAGAAAGACAAACCTCAACATTCTTTGAAGAAAAACTTTGTGAAGTATGTGACTCAAAATATAGATAAAATGTGGCACAATCCCAAGGAAAAAAGAAGGTTTAGTTGTTCCTAAAATGAGTTTTTAAAAACAACTAATATAATATTCTCAAGAATATAAAGAAAGATGATATGATATAATACATGAAAATAGGGGCTGGGGAGATAGCTCAGTTGATTAAGTGTTTGCCTGGCAAACGCAAGGTCCTGAGTTTGATCCCTCGTACCAAAAAAAAAAGCATTTCAAGAGATTATGGTTCAGTATTCCCTAGAACACTTGAAAAATATCAATCTACAGACACAAAAAGCCCAATAAAAGTCAAAGGAGTAAATAGAAAAATCCACTCACAGCCATAAACAGAATAAACCCACATAAGTAAAAAATAAGAACTCTTCATATTTGCAAAATATGTATCTGACAATGTTATCCAAAATATACAAAGAACACTTAAAACTTAACAATAGAAGACAATTTTAAAAATCCAAACAAACAAAAAAATAGGCCAAAGATTTCAACAGATGCCTCACCAAAATAGTATAGATGGCAAACAAGCAGATGAAATACTAACTAATGTAATAGCGAATGGCCCAAAATGAAGAACTGCCAAATTTGGAGAAGGAGGTTGTAGTTTTAATGACAAATATAAGTGTCTGGAATCAATGACAACAAGACAAGCATCAACATTCTTTGGAGAAAAACTTTGCAAAGTATGTGACTTTGCTGTACTTCTACATTATGCAAGTTAAATCAACAATAGAAAATATGTTCACCTTATCCAGCTGGATTATAAAATCTTTAGGGTAACAATTAGATAGTGTATGTCTTCCTCCTTCCTCCTCCCGCTTCCCTCCCCCCAACCCTTCTTCCTCTCTCCTCTTGCTTTCTGAGACAGGGTCTCACTCTGTAGCCCTGCCAGGCCTGGGACTCACAGTGATACTCCTTCCTCAGCCTCCCAAATGATGGGATACAAGACTGCACAACCACACCCAGCCAAAATCTCATTTTCTGTATCTACAACAGCTTTATCTTTCTAATAGGCACTTAATATCTTATGTTAAATTTAATTATCCTGTATTTTGTCAGCAGGATTTGCAACTCTGAGATTTTATTAGTTATGGTTGACACTTACCACTCAAATTTAGTTGCTGGAGCTCTTTCAACATTAAAAAAGATGGTGGAAGATAACTTATTTGATTGTTACATGCAGAAAAACTAACCAAACTTCTCAATTCCCCTATATTCTTTGGAATCTCTCTGATTGCATTATTTGAGATATCAAGTTTTTTAAGTTGAGTCATATTAGCAAGCTCTTCTGGAAGTCTTGTTAACTGTAACAAAGAATAAACAAGTATGCTTTATGTATCCATAAATATTTATATCACTAAAACTTTATTTAAAATCACATGAAAGGAGAAAGTTGTTTGTTTTTTTGTCTTAGAAAGGACATATTTCCATTCTCTTTCAGATTCTTTGTAACTTCTAATAGCTGAAATCCACAAAGTACTAGGTGGCACTGAGGTACTTCCCCAGTGACACTGGCTCAACCCTGTAGCTTACTAACCCTCTTTCTTTAGTCTCCCAACACTCAGTGTTCATGTCTCCTTTTACTTTCTTCTCCTAAGTTTGACCCTATGCTATTTTTTCCCCTGAAGTCTTTCACAACATCTCTGTATTCCCATTCTTATCAACTTTGTCATTTACTCATTGTTTGTGAGTTTTCTTCATATTCTCGATACTATCGGCATGTTTTGTACGTTTTGTACATGTGTTTACAAGCACAATGCATTTTGAGTAAATACTCAATAATTGAGTTACATTCTTGAGCAATGTGGCCACAAAAATTCCTAGTACAAAGTGTTGAGAAATAAAAGTAATTATGAAAACACTGTTACAATGAAGAAGAAAATACGGATAGAAAACATAAGAATATTTTGAGTGATTTTTGTTCTATGAGTGAATAAAAGAATTTTGAATATGTAGGCTGCCTAGAAATAACTAAACAATGAGGAACATACTGGATATTATGTTCAGGGTTCTTCCAGATATGAAAGTAACATAAGAGACACCCTCTGGTTTAGAGATTATAATTTGGTCCATGAGACAAAACACATAGATGAAACAACCAAGCACTATATAATCTAGCGGCAAAATAAGGAGAAGTGATATCAGTTGTGTAAAAATTGTCCCTGCTACAGTTTGTATCTAAATCCCCCCCAAGTCTCACACAATCATAGGTAGGCCTTTTTCAGAGGTAGATTGATCTAGAGTGTGTAATGTTGGGATTAAGGGGATATGATTACTAAATTAGTCCAGTGATTAGTTTGGCATGTTTCTAGAAGTGAAAATAAAAGGGCAGAACAAAGCTACTGTTGCCACTTGTCCCTTGTCCCTCACTTGCTGCTTGCTGCCTTCTGCCTGCTCTCCTTTGTGATGGATTGTTACTCCTCTGTGATGTTCTTCTGCCATGCCACACTGTCTTGGAGCCTTCCAATTATGGACTGAAACTGAAGCACGGCTTAAAAAGAAGAAATAAGTTTCCCCAGCCAAAGCAAATACCCTTGTAGATGTCCCTGTCCCTATGGCTGTTGTTTGTGTTCTAATACAAATAAAAGCAGTAACTTTTGTCCCTATAAATAAAGTTTTAAAATCTCCTGTTCCTATAACACCCTATTTTGCCTAAGCAAGGCCAGCAAGATTTGTTAAATTGCAAAACTGTCATAGCCTAACAACCTCCCTTGTTTTACTTCTGTCAACTTGCCTGCCTACAAGTTTTGCACCATCAAGACCAACTGCTAAGTAACATGTATAAAACAGGAGCGATTCCTTTTTTTAGGGCTCAATCTTTTGGAAATGGGCCTGCTGAGTCAGTGCACACCTAAAATAAATCCTGTTTCTCCTGAGGGCTCTCTGATCTCTTAAATTCTGCCACAAAACCTTTACAAACTGTAAGCTAAATAAACTCTTTCCTCCTTTAACTTTGTGTGTCAGGTATTTCATCTCAGCAATGAAAAGACAACTAAGGCAACCCCTGTAAATGAGAGAATTAAAGGAAAACTTCATATAAAAGATGTACCTGAATAGTATTAAGAATGAATAAGATTGGATAAAAGTTACAGGACAGTTAAAGTAAGGCAAGCTGTGTATTTAAATGGCTAGTGAGAAGTTGATCAGTGCGGAGAATTGATAGGAAGCGGGGTGGGGGGGTAGGAGAAACAGACAGACAGACAGAGATGTTAGGGTATGAAGTGGACATTCAGACGATTGCAAGATTGGAGAGCTATGCCTATAAAGTAGGAGTTACAGCAATATGAGTGGACAGGTTTATCGAGTTTCCTTCAAACAAATACCAACAACTTGCTCAATCTTCATTAGTGGACGTGTCTAAGAGCTGTGATGATAGAACACTACGGAAGAAAGACTCCTGTTACGAATTCGTGTTTATTTGATCCCTGGCATGCTGTGCTGACCCCATCCCAGGGCACGCTGTGACATGATTGAGACTGGGTGTGGTGGTGCGCACCTGTAATCCCAGCACTTGGGAGGCTGGGGAGGCTGAAAACACTATGAGTCTGATCTGTGTAGTGAGACCCTGTAGACCCTGTACTAAATACAAAAAAAAAAAAAGAATTCTTTAGGAGAAGCTCTGTATTAGCCTGACTCATTTTCTTTGGACAATTGGTTAGTGTTACATATATTGATTCTTTGGCCAATTTCCCTCCAACCCAGAGGGGTTATTATGGTAATATTTTCAGGCACATAGGATATTCTTCTAAAGAGGAGGTTTTTGTGTTTGTTTGGTTCCTTGGTTTGGTTTGTATTCATCTTTTGAGGTAGTCTCACTCGCTAGGTAGTTCAGGTTCTTCTTGAAACTGGTATTGATCTTCTTGCCTTAGCCTCCCCAGTGCTCAGATTGTAGGTGTGTGGCTGCACACCTGGCTTGGGAGTAGAAACCTGGAGACTTAAGTTGGTTTTGTAAAGCTGGTGCCTTGCCAACCACCCACTTTGTGTAGGCACAGGTATGCATTCTGGCTTCTTAAACACAGATTTACATTAGGAATAGTCCTCTGAAATGAAGTCTGATGTTTGACAAGACACGTTAGAAAGGAGAGTGAATGAGAAAGAACAGCTAGGGTGCCTCTAGCGCAGTTCTAGTGTCTGATGACTGGGGGCCAGCACAGAGGCAATGATACTGGAAATTCCAGGGGAAACTGGGAGTTCCGGGATCAGCACACCGGCCCAGACAGCTCCTGTTATGTCATGTTGAAGCTTATACAGAAGAAGTTGTAAAAAGGAAGTGAAGGACACAACGTTGGAGACACATGTAGGTACAAGAGGAGAATAAGATTATAAACTAATCAAGGAATTAGGTCATGACTGTTCTGCAGAATTTTGTCTTTTGGTACAAGAGTAACTTTCTAAATATATGTGTATCACTGTTTATTGCATCTACCTAAGCAAGTATCACATAAAGTAATCTTGCCAGAAATAAATTATGTAGTCAAAAAGAACTTATTTAAAAAATTAAGTAATTTTGGCACTGAGCGATAGCTCCCCATCGTTATATTATTGTTGTTGGGCTTTTGTGCCATTTGGTCATGGGACTAGGGGTTTTAGGAACAGACTTGAGGAAATCTTGATTTAGAGTATAATCTTACATTAAAGATATCTAGATAATTGCTGTAATTCCTGGTATCTTAAGATAAATCAGTAATTTTTAAAATTTTGTGAAGTGTTCCGGGCCTGGGTGTATGGGTCAGTGAAAGGGCACATGCTTGGCCTATAGGAGGGAGACACTGGGTTCAATCCCCAGAAGCAAAAACATCATAATTTAAATAAAGAAATAAAATTCACTTTATAAGTGTGGAAAATAACATGATAACAATAAACTGGTAACTTCAGAAAGATTCCCTAAAGATACAGTTTAAAAATATGAAAAAGCCTGTCTATGAAGACATTTACCACAGTATTATTGTGAAGAAAACAACATTCGGGGATTGGCATGAACTCATCACAAGTGCACCAGATTCCAGTAGGAGAGGACCTTGCGGTGAGGGAGGGGCACAGGGACAGGTCGCGTTGGCGCGTGTATCTACCGCAAACTGAAGACAGCTTCCCCCGACTGCAGGTCTCTGGGGTTGGAACCCTTCAGGGGCCAACGCAGGGCCGGACACCAGCGGCAGCCCTTTCTCGGTGCCCTCGCCTGCAGCCAGCGCTCGCCCGACCACCGGGCGGACGACGACGTGAAGACCGTCAAAGCGAACCCTTTGGGGGACCCTCGCCCTCTGGGACACGACCGGATGCGCCGAGGGACAGTGACTCTGAACCTCCTTTTGGCTTTGCACCCCGCAGGTTATGGGTGAGCCGCAGACCGAAGCACTTTTCCTAAGGGTCTGGGCTGCCCGGGCCTTGGTGACGCTCACCTCGCTGAGCCATCCCGGTCCTTCCGGGCGCCCTGCCCTGATGCGCGCGGATCCCCAGGACGGAAACTCGGCGGTTTACAGATTAATCCTCCGGCCCACACACCGGCTGCGGGGGCGACCGCCTGGGAATTCTAAGCAGGCGGCATGTGCGACCGACCTGTCACCTCTGAACACCCTTCCCAGTCTCCACCTCGGTGCTGCCAGGGAGGGACTGACTGTGTGTGCGTCTTGCTGTATTTCCACTCAAGACCAGGCCACCAACACTGCTGCTCTGACGCTTAAACATCCCGTGCAAAGCCCAATGAATTTTTTACCAAATTAAAAAAAAAAAAAATGCATCCAACAATCAACTTTCGAAGAAGGTGTCTAGGGAATGAGCGCGTGACGACTGAAAAGAGAATTTGTCAGAAGGAAGCAGAAGCATTAACCATTTCTTCCCCAAGAAAGAGTAGAAATCTTAGGAATTCAAGGTCAGACTGTGTCCCCCTTCGTCAAATCAGGACCTTGGAAGGAGAAGCACCCCTCAGTGCTTTTAATTTAAGACCTTAGAGAAATTAAGTACTGAGAGTTTTATACTTTAAAAATCTTGCTGGGGAGGGAGGAGGGGTAAGGAAGGAAGTTAATACCTATGTAACGCATAAATTCATCTAAAATAAAATGCTGTTGATGGTTGAAATAAAAAAAAATTGTTGTGAAGATTATATCAAAGAGAGAAGGCCAGCTAAATAGCTCAGTGGATTAAAGCGCCTGGAGTTAGATCAGGGGTCTGCCTGGAGTTAGATCAGGGGTCTCCCCCCAGGGCATGCAGAGACAGCAACTGAGACTGGGCATGGTGGCCCTGCCTGTACTCCCAGCACTTGGGAGGCTGTAAACAGGAGAATCACTATGAGTCTGATCTAGTAGTGAGACCCTGAACACCCTGTAGACCCTTCCCTAAAAATA